AAAAAACAGTGATCAAATATTCAGGTTTACCGTAATTTTCGGACTATAAGGCGCACCTGAATATAAGCCGCAGCAGCTAAATTGAATGATGTGTACATATATAAACCGCACTGGACTATAAACCGCAGGTGTTTTAATGTTTAATTACCATATGTAAGGGTTCGTGCACACAGGGGATTGTCGGGAAAGAGATGGCTGTTTGAGGAAGCTCCCATTTATTAACATTTGAACAAACAAGTTGCATATTTGCATAACGTATTCAAGTGTTAGCATTTAGTGCAATAGTAGCTACAGAACATGTACTGTGCTGTGTAAACTGTACTGTATCACATAGCGTTTCAGACACACAAACTTTTCAACTTTCAAACTTAAACGGTGCGCTCCCAGCGCACGTACCGGCAGTGATCTACTGCAGTGGTTTTCAACCAGTGGTACGGGGACAAACTGTCTCGCTCTCGTGATGTCTGTCTGTCTTGCTCTCGTTCTGTCTCTCGGACCACTCTCGGTTCCACTTTTACTTTGCGCGCTACCTGTCTCACTCTTTTCCGGCCTCCAGCTTTTCCTGCTGGAGCCTGCCGCTTAAGGGGGGGGGGCACGGACCGGCCATAGAGCCCATAGAGTTAAAGGTGGTGGACTGTAACCTGTAAAATCCATAGATTTAGGAGGTCCCCTCGTGGCCGTTAGCTGTGAAAATCCATAGATTTAGGAGGTCCCCTAGTGGCCGTTAGCTGTGAAAATCCATAGATTAGCCGCACCGTTATATAAGCCGCAGCGTCGAAAAATGGGAAAAAAGGCGCGGCTTATAGTCCGAAAATTACGGTAGTCTTTAGTTAAATTATTGACAATTTAAAAATCAGATGGCCGTTATTGCTCAGTTTCTTATTGTGTGGTTTATCTTTCCTCAACATTAATGATATGTTGTCCTTCCTGTTTACTCTTTACAGGTTCAAAAATGCTATTTTTGAGATTTCTCCGGCAGAGACTGTCGGCGTTTTCGAGGTTAAGGCCAAGTTCATGGGCGTGCACTTGGAGACGTTACAGTTGGAATATCAGGTATTGTTTCGCTTTCATATCTCTATATCTTTCCACCAGGGAAGTAGATGGACTAACTGAATTGATTGAATGTCTTGGATTCAATGATGTAAGCTCATTATAAACTCCTTGGTGACTGTTAAACTACCTACCTTTAGCTTAATTAAGACTTGAATGGAGAATACCACTTTTAATACGTGGAAGAATCCATTGAGCTCGATTCTGCCTTGAGTGAGTTTTATTGTCAATAATTAAATGTACCTACAGTAATTCTAGGACTTATTTTTAAAGGGGTCCTATTATGCTCATTTTCAGGTTCATATTTGTATGTAGTTCCTCTACTGTGTCATGTCTCCATGCTTCAATGTTCAACAAGCTGTTTATTTTTCTCATACTGCCTGTGCTGCAGCACTTCTTTTCACCCTCTGTCTGAAACCTGAAAACACATTTGGTTTATTTATTGTGGCTAATTTGTTCTTTCCCCGTCTGTTTTTCAGGATCTCCTCCAGCTGCAGTATGAAGGTGTGGCGGTGATGAAGCTCTTCGACAGAGCCACCATCAATGTCAACCTGCTCATTTTCCTTCTCAACAAGAAATTTTACGGGAAATAGAAAGAGGATAAAAGGGCTACGGACACTGATTCAAACCACAAGGCCCGCTTTGAGGGTTGCAGAAAGCCCTGACCTGAACCACCCTGCTTCCTACACATTCCCCTCTGCACTTCTCTCATGTGCCTTATGCAAATGTATGTGTATTATGTGGATCACCATATGTGCTTTATTCTTAATAGAATAGCCAGTAGGCCACAGAAGCTTGCTGGAGTCTTTTTTCTCACTGTCTTTTTGTCTGTAACTGCGTATAGGTCAGAGGTTTAAGATTTGTATGTTTTGCTTTAAATATTATAAAAATCTCGTGCATGGGCCTTGATTAATTATAAAATGTACGTTTTATGTAAAGAGATAACGTTTTGTGTCTTTATTAGCTGATAGTTTATCCGCTCACCTGAATGTTAAATGCTTTCAGAAAATCTCCTCCACCAAAACTACACAAAAGTGCTAGTTTACTTTTCAGCAGGGCTGCGGTCAGGCTGGATTCAAAACCTTCTCTGGGCCGCTTCGTGTCTTCAAACTGCACAGAAAAATGGAGCAGTTGTCGAGGGAAAAAACAAGATTAGAGATGATTACTTCTCGTTTTATTTAAGTGTTTTTCACATGCTTTGATTGGAAAATTATTAAACTCTTGAGATTTGACCCACCTGAATGCATACTTAACACACCAAAGAAGATCGTTAAAATCTTAAATTCCATCAAATGAAACACTCTTTGTTTTTATAAATGTCTTCAATCAATTTTTCAAACTGAGAATTTTAAGAATTTTCTGATGGTGCATTGTAAAATTACAAAATATTTGGTATTATCTTTTTACTTAATTGTTATATCATTTAATAAATTTATCTTGCATTAAATCCAAAGAACATGATATTAATAATAATAAAAACAATAACCTATTAATAATAACACATATTAAGTACATTTCCCCCAAAATAGCAATCTGATAAGTGATAAAAAAAGACATTGCAACAAAATTAGCATCCTGCTCATATCGAGTTCAATTCTGTTTTTATTAAATGAAATTTAAGAAACAACTATAAATTAAAATCGGTATGTTGATAACACATTTTATACAATTCTAAATATCAAACCCGTTATTCTTAAACTGCTTTCATAGACAGCAGTTTTAGTTAAATTATTGACAGTTTAAGAAACTGTTAGCTGTTAGTGATTGGTTTCTCATTGTGTGGTTAATCTTTACATTTTCTCTAAATGTGTTGCCTGAGCAGGACAAAATTTCACCTGACACCCCTTAGTGTTTCCTGGCACTTGCCTTGCTTTGGAGCCTTTCCTGTCTTTATTTTTTTTTGTTGAGTCAGGCTGTTGGTTTGTTTTTGGACCTGACTGAGCAACTGCCATGACGACAGCCCTGCTGCTCACAACTGACCTGCAGCGCATGTCTTTCTTTAACTTCAACATGCATGAGCAGGAAGTGACAGGGCGCTTAGTGGAAATATTACTTTTTTCTTTCTCTGTCCATCTTGTATAACTGAAACACAGGTCATTATGACATTTAAAAGTCAGTTTAGTAATAAGCACAGCATGTGAAAAAATGTGTAAAACAAATGGGTGGGATCTAAAAGTGTTAGATTTTTAATAACGTCTTTTTGAAAATAATTTGACAAAGTTGCCCTTATTTATATTTATTTTGTCAGTCCATATTATGCTAGTTGCAAAACCCTAAAACAGATAATGTAATTAAGCTTGAGGATGTGCAGTATTACAGTCCTGTGGGTCCAGTAGATATCACTGGACACCATTTATTTCTCAGTTTATTGTATCAGAGTTTGACCTATTTTAAGAGGCCTTGAATGAGATCCTCTTAAACAAAATGATGATTTTCTGCCTTATGTAAAGATGCCATGACCAGAGGTTGACACTGTTATTGGAAAAAGAGGGGCTTTATTCTCTCTACATCTCTTCAAGTACTGAACAAGATTGTGTTAATGGACTTAATTCAGTCCATTAAATGTATATTATGTTTTAGAATAAAGCTCTACATATACCATGTGTCTCCTTCATCTGCAGTTGTTGCTCAGGCAGTGGTGGACTGTAACTACAATTACTGACTGAGGCACAATTTTGAGGTATTCAAGGGTCCCTATTATGCTAATTTCCAGGTTCATAATTGTATTTTGTGCCTCTACTGTGACATGTCTCCATGCTGTAATGTTCAAAAAGCTCTTTATTTTTCTTATGCTGCCTATGCTGCAGCACTTCTTGTCTGAAACCAGAGCCCAGTCTACACTGATTGGTTAGCTGGCTGGCTATGTTGTTGATTGGTCAACCACTTAGAGATGTCTCACCCTTTAAGGCCCTGACACACCAGGCCGAAATCGGCCGTTTTCGTTAGTCGGACGACGAAGCGTGCCCTGTCGCCCAAACTCAATTTGGTGTGTCCCGCACCGTCGGCCGTGACACGCCTTATTTGGCCTTTCATGGCCGACGCATGTTGAATCGGCCATGCGTCGGGTCGGGCAGTCGGGCCAAATAAATCACTCTGATTGGCTGTTCAGCTAGCGAATCAGTGCATGAGAAGTGAAACGGAAGTGAGGCACGTAAACAAACTGTTAAGAAGGCAAATCTGAGATTTAATTGAACCCCAGCTCTCGACACAGGTTCGGGAAATCCCCCATGAGCTTCTCATTGTAGAGTGAAAATAGAACGCACACGCTATTTGTTGTTTGTTCACACAGTCTGTTCTTCTCTAGGTTATCACACAGTCTGTCTTCCGGTTGTTGCCTGTTTTGAATGACGAATACACACTACCGCCGCCTGCTGGTAAGGAGAGTTATTGCCACTCAAGCATGCGCAGTTCGTACGTGCTCGGCTGAAGTCTTAGCGGTGTGTTTCAGTCTGGTTCCAGGTTCCAGTGCAACACATGGCCAACACGCAGGAGAACACGCCGACGCAACAGCGGGAGCAGAGATATACTGAGCAAAATATACAGATATCAGGAGACAGAGGACAGCCAAGGTCAGATAGGAAAACATTCAGGAGCTATCTGGATCAGTCTTATGTGACAATGGAAACTGAACTAAAGTAGGGTGACCATATTTTGATTTCCAAAAAAGAGGACATGCTGCCCCCAGCCTCGAGATACTTAATGATACTCAACGTTTACTCAAAGATGCCTTATTGTTTTAAAGTATGCCTCCTCTGTATGGATATACAATTATTATTTATATTATTTTACTGTATAACACAATAATATCTCTCTATAACCAAAGACACACCAAACCAAGGTTACTCAACAATCAACATGCTTTATTATACCTAGAATTATCTCTGACAAATCTCAAATGCACAAGAATAACTTAAACATCAACCCGTAACAAAATAATAGCTCTCTTTTCAAGTCTTACTGGACAAAAATAAATAACAAAATATATGAAATAGTAGAAAATAGAAAATCCAGCTTTAACAAATAATCTCTTTGTATCTTGTCAATGTAAACAATAAAACAGTAACCTCACAA